ATACCGAATCCATTGTCACTTGCTATATATTTTCTAACTATTTAAATGAGGTTTCTGCCTGTTAATATTAGTAGATTTTCATAACTTGTCGCATTTGACCGAATAATATTCTTAGACAAAAGTTTGCAGAAGTGCATAGTTAACATAAATCCATGTGTTCTTTGGTGAAGACTACCAAGTGAGTAACGTTGTATTATTGTAGATTAAACGCTTACCGAATAATTTAATTTAAAACTTTTGATAGACACATATTTTTGTGCACACATATCTTTCAAACACCATGATTCCACGATCCAACAATAACTATAGATCAAAAACCGTCTTTTTGTGCTACTCCACAGCAAATGATCGCTCCAAACTAATTCTAAAACTAACTCTCCTATTTTATAATAACACATAAAAAATTAATTTGAATTGATCAAGTGATTTCCAAGTATCTAAGCAAAACCTAAGTATGCAAACATACCTAAAAATTTAATTTTTATATTTTGATAACAATAAAATTGGTTAGATAGTTTCCGAAGTTTTGAACAATTTTTATACTCTCTCATAACAACCACAAACTTTAATAGTACTTCGTACTGTCATGCGGAAATCTACCGACGTGAAATTCACAAAAGTACGATCAGAGAATCTATAAATCTGTGATTGGAACATATATTGGTGTACCGAAAAGTTGGTGTTGCTGTCGAATCAATAACTATTAAAATATTTAATAAAATAAGTTTCGAAAAGTGTTAAAAATTCTATAGGCTGCCGGCTGAACGAATATATTCATGCTTGAGGAGCAGAATATAAAACCCAGACTAATGAAAATAATGTCCAATGAATTTCTAAATTACTTATCTCTTGCAGCAACACGATTAGAAATTTTGAAATAACAAAGATTGTAAGAGATGGCAAAGTGTACTAACATTTAAATCGATTGGGGTGGATCTATTGCTGCCTTAAATATTTAACCACGTGAAAAACGGGTAAGAATATTACCGATATAAGGCATGTCCATCGTAAGAGACCATTAATGTGTAGTAGAGATCACGTGATTCTGTTTGAAGTATAAATGGTAGTGAGTGAGTTTCACCTGGAGGGCTTAAAGTTGGTGTTTTATGTTTGGCACGTGTCAGGGTCCATCATAGCTTTGGCTGTCCTGATGAATTAACGTTAGCCTCTTTATTGGAAGAATCTTGGTGGCTACGGTAAAAATCATCTTTACATTTAATAACACGTGTTTTAGGACACACAGCTTCGGCTGAACTGTTCAACTAACGTTGGCCCCTTTAAAGGGAGTATCGTGGTGGCTCAAAGTTAACCCAAAGTTAATGAAAAGATAGACTGTATTTATTACTTTCATTCAATGTTGAGTTTTTTCACCAGATGCTGTGCTCGAAAGAACAGCGGAGGTATTAAATGGGCCTCGCTCCCTTTCATGGAGGTAACTATATCCAAACATGTAGCTTGAATTGGTACTTGTGGAAATTCCACTATAAGGATTATACGTGTGTTAAGAACACCGAATCTTAATGGCAAGTAATTAAATCAAAAAACTATAAAATCTGTTGTCTTTGGTTGGAAAAACGATAACTGAATGCGCGATGAACAATATAGTATTATAATATCCTAGAAGGAGAAGATACTAGAAGGAGAAGATACTATAATAAGATACAACAGTTTTATCTTCTAAAGTGTCTCAATTTCTTATTGTAGAGTACCAGAGGATGATCTGCAAGTGCTTGGAGCTTCGTGCTCCACATAATGTCACTGCCGAACACGGTCGGTCACCTTTCAATACAATGGTTCGCTTTTGTGCTGCTTGTCAATAATGGAAATAATTTAAGTTTTATTTCCAAGAAGCAAATTCAATAACATTAATAATCATGATAACAACAACAATGAGACTGCAAGTTGTTATATCAAAAAAAAAATCATATCAAAAAGTCTAATAAGAAATAAAGAGAAATAAAAATATTAGTTTAAATATAGAAGCACTTAAGCGCCTTGTCTATCGGCAAAATCCATTTTTGCCAAATGTTGTTGTAATTGTGACTTGTAGTGCTCAAAGCACAAAGCGTTTATGCAAATTAAAAAGAAAAAAAACAACAAAATTGATCAAATGCATGCATACATACATACATAATTGGAAGTGATTATAGTATATTATTCATATGTATAATTATCTGTTTTTTATGCGCTCTGCTTGCGTTTTCGTTATTGTTACCGCACTGCCCTCCTATTAGTTGGGATTTATTTTTAATTTTACTGTTACAATGAGCCAGTAAACTTAATGGTGCGTTTACTCTTTTGTATTTGTGTTGTTGTTGTTGCTGTTAACTTTTTGTTGCTTTATGTAATGTTAATAATCCAGTGAATTGTTATTGTTCCCTTGCTTGTTGATTGTGATTTTGTCTGTCTGCTTGTTCACTTGTTATTATTTATGTTTTATGTTTTGGTTGATTTTTTTTTTTTTTGTTTAGCTGCTTAGCCGTGTTTACATATGAGATTTTGATGACCTTGATACTGTTTTTATTTTGTTTTTGGTAATTGAAATATTTTCGGTACTTTTTTGTTTTGATGTTGTCTTAAGCACTGCAAGCTTTTTCCAATTAATGCTTTGGCCTTTTGCAAAGCTGTTGTCATTTGCACTAACACATCAATCGTGGCCCAATGAAGCAACTGAAAAATGTTGAACCTGTCAGTGAATATATGTATGTACGTAAGTATGTATGTATGTATGGTATGTATATACATATATGACAGAAAGCGGTGTTTTAAAGGATGTTATGTTCTTTGCGCAAATGCAAAAGGACAACAAAAAAGGATAAAAAAGAATAATTTCGTAAAAGCACAAAGAGGAGAAGCGCATTCATTGGTTACTTCTTTCTAATACTGTAGCAAAGAAAACTTTACTGAAATGAAGAAATCAGTAGACGTCTTATGAAATAAATACATAATTCAAGAAGTACTCAATTTGACAAGAATTTAATTTAACGAATGTTCAGTTCAAGAACCGTTCAATGTAATGACCGTTCAATTTAACGAAACACAATTATTAATTATTTAATAATATAACGCTGGAAAAAAAATCATATGAAAGGTCCTTCTAAATTTACTGCAACAAAAAAAATAAAATGTGCCTTAAAAATTTAGCGGCTATAAGGTTAAATTTAGTAAGAATAGCCCCCATTTAATATAAAGGCTATTTAGATTTCTATACAATGAGCTACAGAGCATAATAAATGTTATAACAAAAACGAATCTTACGAGACACTGGTCCTGCCAAAACTCTTATAAATTGAAATACAACGTAACACCTGTAGTGTTATTGCCCAAACTAATACAGATCCAGGCCTAAGCTAATGGGAGACCCATACTTAAATTTACTTAGCGATGCATATGCTTCCATTGATCAATGTGTCTGAATGGTTTTCAAAATTGAGGTGAAAATATTCTCCCTTTAAGACACACATCTTGTCGAAGATGACTTAAATCCATCAGACATCATTTTGCACTGTTTTAGAATATAATTAGTAATAATTGAATTTCAATTGCGACACCCGATCAGAAGTGCCAACAACTGCGATTATTTTGGGCACTGAGTTGACTATATACTGAAATTGTTTGGAAACTATGGCTAACAAGAATGTTATCTTTTACCCTTTACAAAAAATATGACGTTCTAACCGCAATTACTATAAATGTGAAGCACAACGAGCTTCTTAGCAGAGTATTATTAGAATGTTTGCTTCAATAATATCTAACTATATGATTCTATCTATAAAATCTATATGTTACTACTATTTATCTATGTACATTAAAATCAAGATTTTGCATTACCTACAAAGAAAACATATAAAAAATCAAGAGACGGTAAGAAATTCCACAACAAAATTTAAATTTATTCAAAAAAAGATTTAAAAACAAAAAAAAAATCAATTAAACTACTACGAGCTATATTTCCATACTTAATAAATTGTAGATATGAATATAGAAGATATATGACTTCAATACGACAGTGGGAGAAGCCATAAATCCTATTTCGACTTCGTTGCTTAGAAAATGTTCCTAACATGTAATATCTAGTACTGGTCACGTGAATTGAGCACCTGGATCATGCGATCTGAGACTGAATTATTTTATGGGACTCAGCAAACGATCAAAGCATCCAACTCTTTACGATTCCATCATACATTAAATTATGGCCAAAGTATTACCAAAGTTTTGCGACGACAAATCATTGAAAATTATCTTAAAAGGTCTTGCGAGAGATATTAGAATAATGTTATATGTCATATTTAATGGCAATGTAAAAACAATATATTGGAGTAAACAATTGAGCAATCTTAGTTACAAGTGTATTGCATTTATGTATACTTCTAGAATCATAAAATTAATAATTCTTTATATTTGAAAAGTGTAAAAGGTTTTATTGATGTATATACAGCAGAAATTGGCTTGTGTATATAAAAAATTGGTTTTTAGATAGTACGGATTCTATAAAAGTATGCATAATTTTGATGAGTCTCTACAGCATATCCTTAAAAGATGTCTATAATAATATCCAATATGCAAATGGTGTAGTTTAAAGATTTATTAAGTGTTACTCTCTTAGTTTTACAGTATTGTAGGGTGACGATTTGCAAAAAGCAACCCATTTTGCAAAAAGACCGGTTCATTTAGGTTTCAAGAAGTACACAGTGATCGTTGTAATTATATAATAAACATATAAGTGAATTGTTAAATAAGTTAGTATTAGCTTAAAATCCCCGTTAAGTTAATATATGTTAAAGATATAAGCTTTTCTGATATTTTTACTATATTAACAATCTATTTAATTTAATTTATTTTGATACTTTTTGAAAATTGCATTAGCAATTAGCAGACTTTAAATTTAAAAGCTGCATTAAATTTAGTAAAACGCAACTGAAGTAAAGATTGCACTTCTCACCTAATAACCTCTTACTATTCAATACTAAGCCTGCCTTACCTTGACTACAGCGAAAGATATGTACTTTAAAGGTACGTCAACTTCTCCATTCCCTACAATTTTTATACTTCAGTTTATAATAATTTAAAAAATTTAATTAAAAAAAAATTAATTGAACTATAACAAATATTTCTTTAGTTATGCCGCGAACAAATGACAAAACCGTCATTTAGTTTCGGATTTCCCATAAAGTTACAAGGAAGTCACTGTGATAACTCAAACTAAAAAAAAAACTATAATATGCATGCTGCTATGTATATTAAAAACAATTATATGTAATCTGAAAACTAAAATTATATAACTAAAAGGTTTTACAAAATATTTCCTGTAATTTCAGCAGTTAGACCTGCTCTAGCCTGTCTTACAGGTGAACTAATTCAAGTCAGCAGTGCCAAATGCGAATGCTCGCACTCATAAAATCACAATTTATGAAAAAAGTGCGTATTTAATTTCGTACAACTCCGTTGCATTGACTTTCACTTATGCCATATGAGTCGTATATGGTCAAACTATTATAGACAGTTATCCAATAGTAGTTCCAATACCAACAACTGCAATACAACTGCCAGAAGAAGGCCAAAAATTTCAACCAACGCATTTGCCATTACCAATTTTAAGTAGCGCCGACACCTCATCGCACTTAACGCAATCTGTGATAATGAAACCGTACGTGTCTTGCACTACTCATTTAAAAGTTAAGAGTATCTATGAAGTTGTTCCACAAAAAAACGGTAAATACAAATATTATGAAGTCACAAATCACGAGTCGCAAAGACGTTCGTTTAATTAGTAACGCTTCACGCATTCCTGGTCAATCGCAGAGGTCAATGTTGATCAATAAAATGAGTTGAAACGTAGAAATCAGTTATCAGGAAATGTGCAAATTGAAATAAGTAAAAGTGAATCAGTTACTAATAAATATAATTTTTATGGTACATCTTTCTCATGCTTTGGCAGACATTTAGCCCTTGCCCTTAAAGTCAGTAGTTCACCGCTAGTTGTTGAAGATACAAATTTTCGGTTATTTTTTAATAAAAAATGTCTTCATAATTAAACTTCTAGGGTGGTCTTAGTCTCTTGGTTACAGCTTCAGCGTTATATTTTATTATAGCGAAATATTTCTTTTAGTTCCACTTTTTCTTTTTTTATACTAATTTTTATTGTATTATTAATGTATGCAAAAATATGTATCTTGATTTGGATCTGTTTATATATACATATATATATATATATATATATATATATATATATATTATATATATTGTATTAATTAAGATACAAATATAGTATATATATATATATATATAATATCATTTATAGATATTCGTTCAGTTATTTTAGAAAAAAATCTATAATATTTTTTCATTTTTTCGTTATCACCAGGGCACATCTTCCATACCCTGAAGACGACTATAGAATAAAATGGAAATGTTAGTGCAAATAAAAAATTTTAAAAACTAATTTCTTGAAAAAGTATATAATTGACCAATTAAGTCGTTTCAAAAACAAAATTATTAATATTATTATTAATTATTTCGGTCATTAAAACAATAAATTGGAAAGAAAAGATTATATATATCATTTTCCTAAATGTAATATTTGAGATTATATATATGTCCGGCAATATTTAGCTGTGAACATTTTCAAAGAGTCAGAACTATTTTACAGGAACTGTGAAATACCGACTGTATTTGGAGAAAAGGAACCCAACTACTTACTTATGCAAATAATGAAATAACGTCATAATTAACATGCATGGATTACTTTTCATAACATAATAAAGTTGATCTGGACTTAAAGAGCAGCTTTATCGTTACTTAGAATCACGGCGATTTTCCTTTTCATTTGAATTCAGAAATTAGTTCCATCGATTCAATATTACTAACAATTATGCTTGAAGTGCTAAGTATTTGTTTTAGGCTCTTGAATAATATATCTGGATCTAATTCCTTTTCAATTTTCGATGCATTCGTAAATATGAAATTATAAACCTAATATACTGAATCGCGTTGAAATTCAATTAATTAAAGAATTCCAGTTTAAAAAAATTTTAAAACAATTTTTTAATTAAAACCTTGCTCTTACAAAGACATATTATGTAATAAATAACTTATATAATCTCATGAAACCTGCGGCTGTAAACTATTTCTGAAACGAATCGGTTTTCAGCTGGAATACCCGCATTTTTAGTCTAATTAAACCAACCGGCGAGCTAAATCATTATATTCTAAAAACCATAAACCAAATCAATATTTTAGAGTATCTCGAACTATTGACCCTAACCACTTGAAAAATGTATGCACTCCACAGTTCTAGCAAAAACAAAAGAAACAAGTCTTTCTCTGCGTAGCGTAGACGTCTGCGTAGACGGCTGGCTTAGACCCATTCGGTCGCTTGTGAAAGTATTATTTATCAGTTACCACTGATTTTAATTGAAAAAATTCACCTAAATTCTTCTTTATTCTTTAATAATAATAAATAAAAATTTTAATAAAAAAAATATCGATTATAAAAAAATAATTGGTTATTTTTATTTCAGGTCTTCAAAATTATTCCTAGTATGCGGTCTTCTGATCATTTCAATTACTTTCACATTAGCACGCCCACAAAATCGAAACAGCCTACAGCATATTGCTGTCATTGAGAATGATGCCTATGAGCAGACATTGCCCTATGAGCTGAAGAATGCATTTTATAAAACACCACGCGTCAGAGAAGCTTTGGCAAAATCAAGTTGGTTTGGACCAGGCGAGGAACCTGTAAGTGATTCAACAAATTACTAGTTGCACTAAGAATATTTAAAATATTTATAATAATACTTATTTTATTTATGTTAGGTTTTTGATAGACAAGCTGAAAAAATTCCTCGCATTGAGATCTACAATGTCCTTGCTCACGCTGGACTTATACCTAGAAAGCGGCAACTATTTTAATATTGACATTTATTGTTTGCATATATCATTTTCTTTATTATTTCACAAAACTCATTTTTAATACATTAAATTTAACATTAACTGCATTAAGAAATATACATTTAGCAATTTCCACAAAATTTGATTATTAATAAATCACAATGTTTTTTAATATTATTTTACATATAAAGATTTCTTTTATTATTATAGCTTAAAAACACATTTTTTGTTTTTGTTTATTATTTGTACAAAAATATATTTTATAGTTTATAAAAATAAAAGTTTAAAGTCATTAAATTTTAAGTTGAATAGTTTAAATAATATCGTTTTTTTTTTCTACATCGTATCTATAACTGACATTAAATATATATAATGAATCAGATTGACAAAAAATTATTTAACAAGCAAGTTTAAAAGAGTCGATTTTCCCCAATTTAGAATTTACGATATTACATGATGTATCTCTATCGCATTATGTTATATATTAAAATGAATATATTTTATAATATTATAAAAATTAATATAATATATTAATAACAACAATAATATACACAAAAGATATATAATGTACATATGGTTCAAATTATTGCTTTGATTACCAGGTAGACCTATACATACATCTGTAAGGTATATGGAACATGCATATATTTTGTATTCTTAAGACATTTGTTAACACTGCTTAGAGTTATAAAATGTCGGAGGTGCAACAACTGAATGTATAATTTAATTTAAAATCTATCTTTTACTGCTTCCATGTTGAGAGATGTGAGAAATAATTTCAAACCTTCTTAATATACAATTCTTTATAATAAGTTTTTAATACCGAAAGTTTTCAATCATTATAATAATCATAAATAATTTTCAAGTATTATTATTATAAACTGGAATATGTACAATAATGCATATATGTATATACATTAATAAATTTATTCTATATGCGAAATATATAAAATACGACCACGAACTATATGACATCAAATCTTTGTAAATTATATGCTACATATCAATATAGCTTAGGTCTATAGATAGGCTTTAAAGTTGTAAACTTTTTATGTTTTTATATTTATAGAATTCAAAATATGTTTAATGACAACTGAATACACCGATATCTGGTTTAAAGAGCTACTCAGCCTTTCCAAAAGAAACTCAAAAAAAACAGATCTGCTTAAATGGTCTTTAAATGTTAATCGACATATAGGTAATACTAGTGTAGAAATTGTTCAGAATGAATGACACTACAAAAATTGTTTGTCGAATTGCAACTCATCAGTTGTCATTATTTAGTCAATTTTTATAAGTTTTTGTTCATTAATTTATTTTTTTTTATAACAGATAATAGTTCAAAACAAGAGATTTTTCCAAAGATTACTGATGATGGATATTTGGCAATATTCGAGACAACATTTCTTCTGTTTATTGCATGGAGTTATCACCCTCTATATTTATATCGCTTTAATATGAGAAAGATCTTAAATTATTTTATACAGAGAAATATTTATTTTCATGTATAAAGTAATACAATGTATATAATTATATATAAAATATATTATTAACACTATAATTAAACATATATATTATCTACAAAAATAAATAAAATATATAATAAAATAAATATGCAAAAATAAATATAATATAAAATATATAATCACACACACATAAAATTAAATAAAATTTGATTTTATATATATCTTATTATATATTGAATAATAAGGTATAACATATATGAAATTTATAATTATATATATAAATAATTTAAGTACTGATAAAATAATATTATTTTAAACAAAATAAAAAATATATATAATCACACTTCAAAAAAATAAAATTTTTTAAATAATATTTCTTTTTTTTATATATACTTTATATATATAATGTTTATGTATAATTACACATATATTATTATTTTGTTATATATTTTATACTAATGTATCATCCATTACATTACATGTTTATAATTATATATTTAATAAATATTGTATGTTATTGCTTATAAAATATGTATAATTATTTATAAAATAATAAAATCTAATTTATAATATATACTTACAATATACATAATATAATTATGTATAAAATTTGAAAAATTCTTATTAAGTATATTAAATATATAATTATATGCAATGTTAATGTATGTAAATTATGTGTTATGTACCTAATTGTATAAAGAAGTATATATTTTCACATAACGGTTTATTTTATGCATAATAATGCTTCAAGGCTCCCAAACATTATGTTTACACTTATAATTACCAAACCTTAGTGAGAGCAACTGGTCCGTGGTGGCGAGGCACATGGAGGCAGTACTCCGCGCAAAAAATAGGCATCTGGACGCAGGTACAACAGCAGCGTCGTAAGATTAAATCTTACAATCAGGATGTGCATGACCTGAAGCAATACCTAGTGGTGGTTACGGGTCATGTACTTCATCCAGGAAAGGGGAGTTTTTTAGCCTCGCCTCGAAAAAAACAGGAAGTTATAGTGAGAAAATTTTTAAATTCAAATATTTTATTTTTAATCCAGTAAACTCCTCGACTGACTATACAACTCAATTTATTGGTGTAATTGTTCATATATAGACCTTTAGAAATTCTGGTACCTCTGTAAGTTCCATTAATAATTTTATTATTTTACAGAAATTATAGAATTTGTATTTTTCTTCATACTATTGCAGAGGTAATTAAATAATATAGAGATGTACAAAGTAAGCTTAAATGTATTTATAATCTTTAAAAGACACTTTCTGGCACAATAAAAGCTTTCTCTCACATATATCAACTAGGTGGGTAATAACCTAGAGAGACGATAACAATAAATTACCATTAAGGCTGTGTGCGAGTTCGAGTAAATTGATGGTAAATTAAGAGAAATAGTAAATTATGTCGGTATGATAGCAAATGTTGGTATTTACCAGAATTTGAAGTAGGGTAAGATAAAAATTAATTTTAAATTAAAATAAAGTCTTACCATTGTGAAAAATTTTTAAGATGTAAATAAATAAATAAATTTGAAAACTTTTAACCAAAAATAATAAATAATTGCAATAAATAAATAAATAAATATTTAAATAAATGCTTTGCAAAAAATCGCTCGAAAATTTCAATTTACTTTACCTCAATTTACTTGAACTCACACACAAGGCCTAAATACGATTAATTGACAGTGTTAGTTATCATTAAAAAGCAGGTTCTTAGACATCATATATACTATATATACCAGGTGAATGCATAAGTTTTTTCTAGTTTTACTAAGAGATGGGGGATTGATTTGGTTCACACGTCATTTTATTCGTCCGTCGATAACTAGCGAGTGAATGATTATTATATTATTCAGTGATAAAACTACAATTAATAGGTATTAAGTAAAACTTGTATTTCATAATCATTTTCATTTATAAAAATATTTTAATACAAAATCAATACAAAAGCATAGTATTGAAATTTAACAATTAGAAAATATAAAAATAATTATTTATTTAATTCTACAGCTGGTTTATGATTTCTTTCTAATAAACTTTCACAGCAAATTAATAAAACTCAAAGTTCCAACACATAAGTTTAATACGGCTTTGGGTCAGTTGGCTAATGAACACTGACTCTGAGCTTCAAATTTGGCAGGGCACGACTTCAACCCTTGGTACTTGGAATCTTAAAAATTATATATTATTTACGAATAATTAGATATGAGAAATATCTCACTACTTTTCGAAACCTCTCTAATGTAAATCTATTTAATTACTGGTTAAATGAAGCAGTAATCTATAAATGCTATTAGTGAAAATTTACTTTTCTTCTGGTTTTCAAAATTGAAATAAAGTTAACAAAAAAAATCTTTAGTATTGAAGCAATGCAACAGAATAAATTGCTTTCTTTTAGAAAATTATTATTGAAAAGTTCTCTCACAAAAGTTTATCAAACATTGGACGGTATCAGCACAAAAAACTTATAAATATACGTCTAACGCCAAAGAAAAAATCTATCAAAATAGATCTAATAATCTACAACTTATCGTTATTTAGATATATGGTATACTATAAATTTAAGAACAAACACATTTCAAGGTAAAGAGAGTATAAGAGTTTAAAGCTCATTCACATGTAAAATAGGCCTTATAAATTAGAGAAGTGCAAATGTACTCATTTTGGTGGCCATTTACTTCTCATAGGATCTAGAGGAACTAATATATATATGTACTCAGAGAGCAATTAACAAAAGTTAAGCTTTACAAATACATTATGATGGAAATTATTAGTAAAATAAACTTCAATTAAAAAAAGCTATATTTTCTTTGCAGTAGTTCTCGGTTTTATGGTTGGTGTTGGACATATATTGGACAAGTAGTCAAGTAGTCTTTGATAAGACACATTAAAAATCGAAAAGTTGTTTTTTTACTAGTAAATTTTATACTGGTTTGAACATCCAACTGATTTACTAATTTCTGGCTATAGTTTTTGATTATGTGTATCGATTAATAGATTTATTTTTGTGAGTTGTTATTTATAAATAACTTAATTATTTTATAAATTTATTTATAAATCAGTACAAAATACTTCTATAAGTAATATGCATAGACAAAAGTTTAGACTCATTCTCATCATGGAACCAAAATGTAGAATAGAAACTCTAAAAATTATTTAACTTGATAATTAAAATGATTAATTTCTTTAAGATGATTAAGATTAATTTCTTTAAGATGATTAAGATTAATTTCTTTACAAAAAGAACATGTAAAAATTTTCAAAACATATTCAGTTTTCACTACATAGTATATATGTATATGCATTAGTTCGCTAAAAAACATATATATATACATATATATATATGTATTAACAATTAAACACACACATTTACAATTTTTTTAAGTTCATAGTTTTAATTTAGTTGCAAATTAAACTAATATAAGACGATTATAAAAACATATAGTTTATGGTTATGACTTTCTCTGACTCAGACGTTATATATCGTAAAAGTACTTTTGATCAGTTAAAATTTTACAATTTCAATATAAAAGCAAGAAAATATATTTAGTATGCAATCTTAGGTATATTATTATATATATCAATTATATATAATATATATTTTTTAGTTATTCAATGGAAAATATATATTCATACCTTGATATATACAATTAAAACATTTAGTGCTATGTAAAACAAATATTGTAGTATATTTGCATTTATTGAATATTTTTTTTTTGTTAGTTTAATTAAAATTTTGCATAAATAAAAATCTAAACTAACTAGTGAAAGCTGTAACTAATAATAGCAATTATTAGATATTTTTGTAAATTGAAAATGGATAGTAAATTTTTATAGGTATCTTCATAATTTGCCGATAAGTCTACTAACTTTTTCCATAATTACAACTATATTTAAACTTAAATAACTAATTTTTTTCTTTACTTCTAACTAGTAATTATATTAAATTTATTTTAGAACTCAATTTCCTGTTCCGCAATGTGTAACAATTCTTTGTTTAAACTTATTTCGTCCATAGATTTTAGCTTTAATATATTTTTTTCTTTACTGATTTCTTCATTTCTGAGCAAAAGATGTTTCCTTAACGCTAATGCTTTACTTTCTCCTTGATTTACGGTCTTTGCACTCGTTAAATTTACTGTATCATCGACTTCAACAAGACCATTCTGTGTGCCTACTATGCCACCATTGATACGTCTACTTCCAATCATTGCATCATTATTATCTACATCATCATCGTCATCGTCTCCATCATCATCACCATTTTCATCCCCTCCACGCTGACCACCATTCCGGAGTTGTGCTGCAATTTTTCTTTCTTTGCTCTGCACTGGGGTCTCACTAAATCGGCTTAACATTGCCTGCAGCAGATCAGCAGCAAGTAGATGCATTGGCGGCATTGTGTGGGTGGACATACTCACAAACTGCAAAGGAAATTAAAATAACAATTAATATTTTTTTTTTTTTAATAGCAAATAGTTTTTTCATATTTAAATTTTATTCACTTAAATTTGTATTAATCAAAATATATATGTCTTTTAAAATAATTTAAAAAATGCCCACAAACACAATATAGTATAGTATTTAGCGTAAATTATTAAATGAGACGTCTGACATATAATTATCTTAACTAATTATCTTAATTAATATCTATAGAATTTACTTTATTAAGAAAAGTTATTTTCATTGACATTCAAAATGTTTTTCATTTGTTTTAAAAATTTATTGTAAAATTAATTTTCAGTTTTCTTGGTTTTTTAAAACCTGCTTTCTAGGTTTGTGACCTATTACTTATGACAGTCGAACTCCACTAGTCCGGTTATATAAATATTAGGATCAATCCAAATTATTAAAGATATTTCGGATAGACTATTGACTAGATATCTTTATAACTTATTATCTAGATTAGCGAAGCAATATTAGATCCAGACAACAAGTCACATTAGACACATTTTTCATTTTCTATCTTTATCCAGATTATGAGAGGATCCGATTTATCGGAGATTCGAACTAGCAGAGTTCTACTGTACATCTCTTGCTATGTAAATTTTTAGTTATCGATTTAAATGTATTTTAGTAACACACTACCATAGTATATCAGCACATATTTTGAGAAGTTTCGACTTGAAAGGTTATAAGGTTTCCATATATGAATTTACCACAGTTCCCCAAAAAGTTCAATACTATTACTACATATCATTTTCAGTGCCATTTTATAGACATTTATTTCAATGGAAAGTTTTGCATGCCGCCTTATAAACCCTTACAGTATTTGACTTCATATATTATTTCATTATATTCCCAATATTTTATGTTTTTTAAGTTATATACTATCGTCATGTTAATCTCGTTATGTTAATATGCAGCTAATTGGCTTTTGTTGAAGGAGGTATCAAGTCATTATTTTCAATAAATAGATGGAAAGTTTTATTTCTCTTGGAAAGAAGGAAAGTAATCTCTGTTGATTTTATTAAATTTTATTTTGCAATTTCTGAGTTACACTAAAATTCTACATAGACTAGCTTTTAAAATGATAGATACCGATTTTGGTTTCGTATATACCATATAGCAATGACTACGGTATCATTTACAAAAGTATTAATAACTGTATCCAATGTTGCAACATCTGATTTTTATAATTATTTTTACGCATTGATATACACGACAGAATTCTATGATAGTGATAAAAAAGAAAAGCATACTCTTATGCTTAGATCTAGATCTGAATAAACCTGAACAGTGGCATTACAAATGTTATAATGTATTTTTCTCGAACAACTTTACAGATCTATTAAACCATCTATAAAAGATACTACCTGAGTCAATGTCATCCTATGGTTAAGTATTCCCAACCGGTATTATTTTAGACAATTATGCTATAATTATTCGTATCAAATAAACAGTTTAGAGTTTAAAGTATGTAGAACATATTACTTTTCAACTGAGATTTAACCAAATTATATTTACATGTCGCAAAAAATGATCATAACTTAGTCCTTATTTGTGGCTGACAGAAATAGGAGCAAAATCTGACAAGAACAATTCTAACAGGGAATAAACCAGTCTTGCTAGTTTATCAGCATATTAGTTCTCTGTTATATCCGTACGACTAGGAACAAATGATACAGTTAACTTGAAGCTTCTATGAAAGGAATTTATAACTTGTTTTAATCGTGAAAGAACTTGGCCAATGGTTCACATCTATATTGAGAAAGTAAATTCTATAGTTGTCAAATTCTTCCATTCAAAATTTAAAAAAAGTCCTAATATTCTGTTTAGAAAAACTGTTATTTAAAATATATTTTCTTCTTTCAGTCTTTTGGTCTGAATGCAATGTAGAGGCCCGAGTCATTCTCGTGGAATAATAATCATATTCGGTTTCCTTTGCCTACCTAATTCCAATGCTATTAACACCCTGTAACAATTTTCCCACCTTATCAAGTTTGCAGGTTAAATAAGATATTCTCCAGCGTCCAGTTTTCCACAAAAGCCTTTTATGAACGTATGGTATTTGGCTTTCACTGAGCTTAAAGCTTTAGGAACTTCTTAAAAAGTTATAGGGAGACTTAATGTTTGTATATTACGATCAATATATAGTTCGTTATACATAATCACTTTGGGAATTTGTTGTAAATAATTTATATTAACATATCCAACTTCTCATGTCATTTTGATAATTTTTATTAATTCTAGATGAAGTACATTTAACTATACATACTATATCTAAGACTTTCATGCAAGATATTATTTAACAAATGATTATAAAAATTTATAATTGCTTTTTTCAAATGAAATTTCTAAAGCAAACTGAGTAAAAGATGTACATAGAAAGCATCGTTGACTAAAACCCCATTTCCCCATTAATACGAAATATGGAAACGTCATCCATTTAGATAAGGAAGAGATATTAAATTAGACCATCAGTGATTCAAAATAAATGTGACTAGTAAATTTAAAAAAAAAATAAATAATTCAAATTCATTAGTATAATCCCAAGCTATTTATTTCCTTGAGTGCAGACTGAGATTTATTTCGAGATTGAAGAGAATTCGAACTTACTCAGACGGGAGATTACATTGAACTTGAACCTCAAAATACCATATACAGTAAGACATAAAATTAAAACAAAAAGTTAGCGTGAATAAAAATGAGATTAAAAATTAAAATTAATATTTAATAATGACAAAAAAAAAGACTAAAAAGATTGGGAAAGTATGTATTATGGAACCGAAAAATAAAGCGTACATTTTCTCAAGGTGAGAGGAAGCAACTTTTTAACTCTACTTAACTTTTCTTTATTGGGCAACTTCTTTAATTAAATATAGCGTTTAATGAATGGAAATATTTATACTTTTATTTATTTATTTTCTTCGGTTTCGTTTTGGTTAATTAAGTTATTTTATATAAATTATCGCATAACCCCAACATTACAAAATGACTTTGTTCCCAAAGGATTTTGAATAATTTATGAGAACACTTGGCATTGTTCAATAATTTCTCCAGAGTTATTGCTATGATAAAGTGAAAAAATTACTGAAAGTATGAATAATAATTAAGGAGAATATTTATAATTAAAATTCAATGTAAAATGTTTTTGACTATTTACAATAAAAATTGTACATAACACAAACACATATTAATTTGCAATTAGTGGAAATTATATATTAAAATAAAGTACATATTTTAAACCAAAAAAAAAAGAACACATATATGAAATCTGAATATTTAGATAAGAAATAGTGCTTGGCTTGCATCTTAATGCTCGGTTACGGCATTTTATTAAGAAAAGTAAAATAATTAATTGAAAATTAATTGGAAATTTATGTGGCGTCCAAAGTGAAAGTCGTAGACTTCTCCGATTGAACGTGCACCAAACAAGCCAAACCTGGGTCTGTCAGTCAAGAAGTTCATGGTGACAGTTTTTTAGGATTTACATCGATTACCTTAAAAACACAATTACCGGCGAATATTATTCAGATCCATTGGAAAGACACGACATCGATTTGAAGCAAAAATAATTGCAACGAACTACTATTCCATCTAACATATTTTTCAGATCAAGACCTTGTGACTATTTTCTGTTTCTGAACCTAAAGAAATAATTTGACGATGAGATAATTCGGTCAAGTAAAGAGGTTACCAGTTAAACATACGCCTATTTTGCTGATCTTGAGAAAATCTTTAATTTGATAAAAAAGAAAAATTAGAAGAGTGCTATGTTACTTAAAAGAAGACTATATTGAAAAATAAATAACTTTTTACAAAAAAAAACAAATATTTTATTAAGGAAGTTATTAAATTATCAAACTGTCCCTGTACATCGCTCTTAAGCGAGGTTTCTTAAGAAAATCTTTTATTTCAGTGCTAGTTAAAAGAAGACTATGTTGAGAAATAAAAAACCTTTTCCGAAAAAAAACAAAAATATACCCCTATACCTTATTAAGGAAGTTAATTAATTTATGAAATTGTCCCTATACCTCGCTCTCCCCAAAGAGAAAACTATATCCAAACATATAGCTTCAACTGGTACCGGCGGATATTTTTGGAATTCCAATGGCAGCATTTATAGTTGCATTGTGGTATGAAGGCTTGATGACAGGTAATAACGTCAAAAAACTATGGACTCTATTCCTGTACCTATTAGATATAAACACAACATTGGTCATATTAACAAATAATTAAGGCCTATTTCCAAAATGTTTATCTTGTCTTGTTTGATAGGCATAAAGAAAGAGATGGGCATAGTTGAATCTTGGGCTTCTTAAGTCATGCTATGCATTTGAAGGGTATAATTCATTGGGTAATATAATATATAGTGCTGCATTTTTAAAAATGGAAGCAACATGAGGAATGCCCAACAATTAGTTTCGAAACGTTTAATAGAATTATTGATTACTTAATTACTTCCGAGGTGTTTTCTATTTTTACAACAATTATGCGGAAATTTTATAAATAAACACAAGTGAAAATACTACGAATTAATTGTAAACAATACTAATAAATAATGATAAAAATCTAATAAATATGTAATAAATATGAATTGCAGCGCCTTATCACTGCACGTGCAAAAATATATTTTTATTTGTAGTATTTTAATTACTGTCAGCACTCTCACTTCAGAGAAAAAAAATTTCCCAAACAAGTCCAAAATATTTGTGTATTAAATTTCAAGAGCATTTCTAATTGAAAAATAAAAACATTTCCATAAAAATTTGTCAACAATTCATTTTAATTACATTTAAATAAAAAAAAAGCAAAAACTGAACTCAAAACAAACACGAACCAACAGTCAATTGCTGAGATGCAAGTATCTGACAGATACTTTGTATTTGTTGTATTTATAAAAATTAAGGAAATCTTTTCATGCCCCGTTTAAAAATGTTGGAATAGCAACAGTACCAAGAGTAGAAAAAAAATTATATTA